AGAGAGATAAGGAAAGTGAGAAAGCAAGCTGCCAGGTCCAGGACTTGAACCACAGTCAGCCATGTGAGACCAGCCACCTTGACCACCACGCCACATACCGACCCCCCGAAACTACCTGTGTTCTAATCCACTGCTTTATATATTTTTTAAAGTTTTTTTTTTTTGAGAGATTTTCACTGTAGGGCGCGTGCGCTCGCCAGACAGACAGAGAGAGACATAGAGACAGAAAGCGAGAAATCACCCCCCAGGGGGGATGGTCACGCCGCAATCCCTTCTCCTCCATTCTCCTCTCGGGATCTTGGGCACGCATGCACACGCGCCCGGCGTGAGTTTTAAGCCACCGGGTCCGGGACACGAACTGCGGTCGACTACGTGGGAGTCCAGCGACATAGCCATTACGCTAACTGCTGGTTCCCTAAAGTATTTTTTATAAGTCATTTATTTAATTTACTTACTTACTTTAATTTGACTTGATAGGGACAGAGAGAGAGAGGGAAAGTGAGAAAGCAGGCCGCCAGGTCCAAGACTCGAACCCCAGTCAGTCGTGTGGGAGTCCAGGGCACTTAAGCACCACGCCACCTGCTGGTCCCCTAACCCACTGCTTTAGCTTGGATTAAAATCAGTCTGTGGAAGGAACCAGACTACGTAGAGACATTTGCAGTCTGGAAACCATGTCAACATCCTCTAGTCTTTGCTATCCCAGGAAATTTCTAGAAGGCGGGAGCCAGAAGAGAAGAGAGCAGGAAGAGAACCAAGGGAGAAACGGAAGACTGGCAATGAATGGACGGTAAAGGGAGAGAGCTCAGAAGGGGAACCTGATGGGAAATGGATACCAAGACATTTATCACAGTTAAAGGGCCGGGCTGTGGCACGGTGGTTAAAGCAGCGGGATGCCACATGACTGACTGCGTGGTTCAAGTCCTGAACCTGGCAGGTTGAAAACCACACGGGGCCCAGGTGCATGCAATGCTCAAAATTTTGGAAGAGGGGCAAATGGAGAAGGGATTGGGGTGTTATCACCCCCATAGAGGGGGCTTTCTCACTTTCTCTAGAGAGTACTTGCACCCTCTGGCAAAATATTTTTTTAATAATTATTTTATTTAAATTTATTTATTTATTTATTTATTTATTTGGAGAGGTT